ATGACAATCCTCATGCAGGGTGAAGCAGTGAGCCCTGGGAGACCTTGGGCCCTCTGCCTTCCACTTCTCCCCTAACGGCACCCCATGTGGGAATTTGGGTGGATCTCCAGCTGCTCTGGAACTCTGTTCTCTCATCTGTAAAACGATGTGGTTTAACTGCTGAAATTATGTGGTTCTCATTTCTGTATTAAAGCAAAATGATAAAAAAGATATAACTATATTTACTACCTTCTCATAAAACAAACTTCTTGAAAGGAAAAGAAAGGAAGGACAACCTGTGCTGCTGATCCTGCAGCTCCGAAGAGGAAACTTCTCTGCAGCTACATGTGGTGGGAAAAATACCTCTTTGACGTCTAAGTTTAATTGACACTTTTCAATTGAAAATCCAAAGTTTATGTGCACTTTAATAGTATTATTAACAATTATTAATGAAAGGAAAGACTAAATGATCTGAGGGAAAACTGTTCCCCAGATTATTAACTCATCTTCTGTCTCCCTCAGCTTCTGTTTTTGTGGTTAGAAATTGATAATTCAGACATGCCCCTCGTGCAAGAGCCCAGCATCCCCACCCTCTCCTGAAGGCCTGGGTCAAGGCTAAGACCCCCCCAGAGGGAGTCGGGGTAGAGGGGCTGAAAATTACTTTTGCTCTGTTTTCAGGTTGTTCCTTCATTTCATCTTCCCCGTTGTCCTAATAACACAGAACGCTTTCTTCTTTCTTCCCCCATCTCAGTGCCTAGCTCCATGGAGGAGGGAGCTCTGTGAACTGGTGATAATCAGGGTGAAGCCAACAGGGAAACAAGCTCCTCACTCATCTCCTTACAGAACAACATCGTCCCATTCCCCAGAGGAGCTGCCCAGTGCTCTGCCGTGAACCTCCACACCGCCCTACACCCCATCTTCTCCCCTCACTGACTCCTGCTTTGCCATTTATGAGTTCTGTGACCTTCAGTGAGGTCTTAACTCTTCTTAAAGGGCAGCATTAAAACTGACCCTCAGGATCCTGACTTGGACAAAGTGGGTAGAAAATTCCTTCACTGAGGCAAGAAGAGATGGGTTGGGGGAGGAATTGAGTTCACCCTGGGCCATGTACAAAGTCAGGTTGAACTCCTATGTCAGACATACTTGAACTTCCCCAGTAGTCAGCTAGATATGCAAGTATGGAGCTCAGGAGAAGGTGTGTTATGCAGAAGGTGTGTTATGGATATGGGCCTGTAATTTCCTCCTATCATCGCTTTCCCAATTCCCTCAAGATAAGTAAAGCCATGAATGTGAAAAGATCCCTCAGGCAAAGAAAGTAAAGTGAGAATATAAATATGGATCACAGCAACTTTTGGTGGATTGGGGAAGGGTGATCCGTAAATATACCCTAAGACAGATGGAAAGTCTTGGGTTAGAGGACGAAAAAACAGACAAAAAGCAAAGTCAGGAATCCAGAAAGAGGAACCCCAGTTTCATAGAGAAGAAGCTGTAATTTAGTAGAGATAAATTATTAGGTGGTTAAGAGAGAAGACATAAACCTGAACCTTAAACAGAAGCCAACAAACCAGAATAGAGTATTCAGACCCCTCAAGGTGCTGCTGCCCCTCTAAGCTGTAGGGTGTGTGGGTAGCTGAAAGTATGGTAACATACTGATAAACCAATGTCTCTCCAGCTGATCACAGAAGTTCTCTTTGGGCCCAATTATGCATAACACAGCCCATACCACCTTTTCTTCTTCCCATAAACTCTGGTGTGACAACTCAGTGGAGTTATTGCTGATTTATTCCATGAAAGACAGTGGGAGAAATGAGAGAAGACCAATGTTATAGCATTACGTCATAATGTTTTCCCCATTCGACAGCTCTCCCCGGTTATGTGTCATATCATTGCATCTTTATCACACTCAAGTAACTTAGCACAATTCCTTGCATATAGTGGGAGCTTCGTGAATAATGTTTGGATAAATGAGTCTTCTCAGAGTACTACGGTGGCCTTCTGTACTATGTGGTCTGATCTAAGGTGGAGGACCTTGCTCTACTATCTTCATATGGAGTGGATGTGCTAACAGTGGTGAGGATGCTCCTTCACAATGAGGCAGGGCAGCCATGATCACCATCCCCAATGGGAGGTTTGACTTGGTGGACTCAGCCAAGCCACATGGTCTGAGACTCTTCTCAGCAGGGGTTGCAGGCTGCCCTGGAGGAGAGGGCAGTTGATTCAGACATGCTGTCACTCTTCCAAGCACTACCTCTCGCAGTCCTTGGAGCTTATAAATTGTTTTCATCCCCCAATTCCCATTGACACGTATTCTTGAATATTGTAGTTTTTAAAAATTCTACATTTTTGCTCATTACTCTTCTCCTTCCCTTATTTGTTAGTGTGTTTGTACAGTGCAGGTCATCTGGAGCGACCTCAACTTCCCAGTTCTATATGTCTGTCAAACACAGCTGTCTGGAACCTGTGGTATCTGGTGTAACAATGTCTACGACATCCATATATTGGTATGAGGGAAGCCCTGGTCCAGCCCTGCAGCTCCTGCTGCACATTTCATCTGACAACGCTGTCAGGATGGAGTCAGGCATTCCGTTGGGTGAATTTGAGATACTGTTTTCATTTATCATTTCTAACAGATTTTTGGTAGATCCGTTAGGGTTTTCTAAATATAAAATCATGCCATCCACAAACAGTGAAAGTTTTACTTCTTCCTTTCCAATTTGGATACCTTTAATTCCTTTAAGTACCTAATTGTTCTTGCTAGGATTTCCAATACTATTTTGAATAAGAGTGACAAAATTGGGGATCCTTGTCCAGTTCTTGGGGGATTGCTTTCAGTTTTCCACCAATGAGGGTGATATTATCTGTGGGCTTGACTTATATGGTCTTTATTATGTAGACATATTTTCCTTCTATACCCAATTTACTGTGAGTTTTTACCGTAAATGTATTCTGAATCTTGTCAAATGCTTTCTCTACATTTATTAGATGATCATGTGATTTTTATTCTCCATTTAGTTAGTGTGGTGAATCCTGTTGATTGATTTGTGGATGTTCAACCCCCCTTGCATTCCTGGAAGAAATTTCTTTTGATCGTGATGTATGATTCTTTTAATATGCATCTTTTAAGATGTAATATTCTTTTAATAACATTCTTTTAATGTGTCCAACTTGCCAATATTTTGTTGATAATTTTGCATTTATGTTTGTCAGTAATATTGGCATGGAATTTTCCTTTTTGTGTTGTGCTTGTCTGTTTTTGGTATCAGGGTAATGTTGAACTTGTAAAATGAGTTAGGAAGCATCCCCTTCTCTCCAATTTCTTTGAAAAGTTTGGGTAGGATAACTATTGAATTTTCTTTCAATGTTTGGTAGAATTCAGCAGAGAAGATGTTTGCTTCTAAAATTTTGTATTTTTTAGGTTTTTGATTACTATTTTAACCACCTTGCAAGTGATTGGTATATTGAGACTATTTCTTCTTGATTCAGTTATGGAAGGCTGTATGATTGTGAGAATTTCTCCATTTCTTCTATATTATCCAATTTGTTTGAATTTAGCTTTTCATATTGTTCTCTTACTATTAATTTTCTTTCTGTGGTCTCTGATAATTTCTCCTCTTTCATTCCTGATTTTATTTATTTCAGTCTGCTTTTATTTTTCTTAGAGAGTCTAGTAAAGGTTTGTCAATTTTGTTTATCTTTCCAAAAAACCAGCTCTTAGTTTCATTGATCCTTTCTATTTCTTTTTAAACTCTATTTCATTTATTTCCCCTCTGGTTTCTATGATTTCCTTCCTTCTACTGATTTTTGGCTTTGTTTCTTCTTCTTTTTCTAGTTCTTTTACTGTTATGTTAGAGTGTTTATCTGAGATAAACGTTTTTCTTGTTTTTAGAGGTAGGCCTGTATTGCTATAAACATTCCGCATAGACCACTTTTGATGCTTCTCATAGATTTTGATATGTCATATTTCCTTTTCATTTGTCTTTAGGTACTTTTTTCTATTTCCTCTTTGATTTATTCATTGATCCTATAGTTATTCAGTAGCATATTTATGACTTTTCCAGCTTTCTTCTTGCAGTTGATTTCTAGTTTCATAGCCTTGTGATTGGAAAAGATGCTTGATGTAATTTAAAATTTTAGTTTAAATAAAGAATCTTATTTTTCACAGGAGATGGAATTCTATAAATTTCTTCATTTATTCCGGGAAAAGTAATGTCATCAGAGAAATCATTTTCTCATTGACACTGCTGGGAAAGGATCATATTGCCAATGGTAACAAGGCTTCATTAAAAGTGGGATACTTTGGCCTCAGTGGCCTAGTGGTAAGTTCAGTGCACTCTGATTCGGCAGCCTGGGTTCAGTTCCTTGGCCCGGACCCACGTCACTCATGTTAGTGGCCATGCTGTGGTGTCAACTCACATACAAAAAAATGGGAACGATTTGCAGTGGATGTTAGCTCAGGGCAAATCTTCATTAGCACAAAAAGTAAAATAAAATAACTGGGGAAGTTTGTTCACATTGCTCAAGTATATTTGAATTGGCGTATTTCCATTTTAGTTACTAAAGAGTATCTTCCTTTCAGAAACACATTCCCAAATCACTAAGGAAGCAGCCCTGATGTTTGTGAGAACAAAAGGGCCTTTCCTTTGATGCAACCTCTGAGCAGTTTAAACACAATTGAACACCTGGAAATAAAAAAAAAAAAAAACCCTTATTCTCTGAACGCTTTTCCTAGTGATTCAAAAAGTAGTTGCTTGACAAGTTGGGAATGATCTCTTCTTTTTCCTCTTTTATTCTTCCTCTTTTTCATCAATGCTTTTCAATGATTACTGCCTTGTTGGAAAACAGATATTTGGATCAATTTATCTGAGGAAAAATTATAAAATGTCTAATGCCACAAAGCTTATACTCAAAGACTTCCAGAGGAACTCAGAAGATCAAATTGCCAGTGCACAGCTTTTTAACCACTAGTTACATCATGAACCTTAGGAGAAGGCTGAGTTTTTGTAGAAGCTGTAACCAGTGTGATAGCTCAGGCTGGAGCAAGAAATTTGGAGAAGGGACAAAGCTCACAGTAATTCCCTCTGGTAAGTAATTTTTTCTATTTTTACCCTAGTAATGAAACATTGGTAGGTGCTTTTTAGAAAAAAACAATTTAGGATCATCCTTACTTGACTGTCATATACGTGGGCTCGGCATATGAACAGCAAGTTTACAGCTGCTGGTCACTGTATATGAAGAAAAAACTACTTTGTAAATGGTTTGTTTACTTCCCTGATTGTAAGCAGATTGAAATTATACTTTTAAAATACACACAAAAAAATAGTAGAGTCAAGCTAGAAATTCTGACGGTTTTAGGAATGTATTGGCAAACCATTAGTAGAAGTTATTGCTTCAAGATGCTTTACTTGTAGATGGTCTTTTAGTGAGAGATACATTTATTAATGTGCTCACAACTCTGGATGAATTTCCTAGAGATGGGCCAGTTTAGGGGAATTTGTGAGTTCATTAAGCCATTTCAGTTCAAGGTCCATGAAAAGAGTCTGCATGGTTTTACATCCTCATTTGCTCTTTCATTCTGACAAAAACCCTCATTGAAGACAGTTTCTATGCTGGAGGCTAGAGATAAAATGGTGACAAGACACAAATAGACTCAGTCCCAACATTCTAAAGCTTCTAGTCTAGGAGATAAGTGTTCTAATTCCATCCAGGTCCTTGGAGGCAGTTCTCTGACTGACCTAGCAAGGAGGACATTCACAAGGAATTAACTAGTTACATCAATTGTAAGGCCCTAAGAGGTGGAGGAATTAGGTCCATTTGGTATTTCTGTATTGAAAGATTTGTAATGAACTTTAGATATTTGTTGTATTTGATTCCAGAAATAGCTAATAGTAAATATGAATGAAAATTGCTAAACGTGTCATTTGGTGAGAGGATGATTAACATCAGGTATTAAAATATTTAAAATATTTAAAATATTTAACTGGATGACCATTTTCAAGAATGTCGTAATGTCATTCTTTTTTCTAAATTCAGTCCAGTAAATTTGTTCAGTCCTCATTAGCCTTAAAGGTAAAATTTTGCCTGAATGAGGAAGAAAATCTCACAACGATGTTTCTAGCCCACTAGATCCATTGAAATGAAAGGTTTCAAATAATTATCACAAAATAGTTAAAGCATTGAAAACATGAAAGAAATTATATAATTTGATTTCCTTAGTGGTTGTGATCATATAAGCGAAGAATTTATAAACTGAAAAGCAACATTCTAATGCTTTTTTCCCCAACTTACTACATATTCAATATAAATTGCAGCACACAAATTAAATAATGGTGACGCAGATATAATTCATTAGGGTTCTGAGAACCCTCATGTTTTAATTTAAAAAACGTCATGTTTCTTCAGGATAATGTGGTGCGAGGAAAAATATAGACTTTGATCCTGGGTTTATCTTTTTCCGTATAATCATCCTTTGGCATGGATGATTTGGTTCACTTGTTATTGCTCTGCTAAAATTATAAAAATAATACTTGCTAATTATGAAAAAAATTTCAAAATACAAAATTAAAGAAAAAATTAATATTATATATCAACAGCCATCTTTGATAACATTTTGAGGTATTCCTATCCATTCATTCTATCTATGCAACAACCATCTCAAGTGGATGCTGTGAACAGTAAATGAAATTACATTAGGAAATTTCCAACATGGTCAGTGATAAAAATGTCAATTCTCAGGAATTCAAATTACCATCATTGGAATTCTTTATGAATTCAATGGTATAGATAAATATATTAATTCCCACCTAGTCTACAGGTCACATTATAATAAACGGTCAGTCATTGGGAAAAACTTTCCATTTTCTGAGACCAATTTTTACCTGCCTCTAAAAATGATTAGAATATAATAAGCATTATCTCAAATAAAATTAGCCTGAATATAAAGTGATCCTTCATTTTCCAGTAGAAACTTCTAGAAGTCAAAGAAAGAGGACTTTTGCAGCTTGAATCTATAAATTTATAGTGATATAGATAAATACAAATATCCATTTATAATATTCAACTTCCTAATTAGATTATGGCGAAAGAATTAAAAAGCATATCAATACAAATATCAGTTGCAAAATGTTCTTTTTGCCCTCATTAAAACATTTCATTAAACATTTTGTTCAGTCTTCACATGCATCTAAAACATCTTCTTAGAGCAACTCTCTGGGTCATCTTAAGGGCTGAGTGTCTGTTTTGGGATCCTGGTAGGATGATATCACTGGATATTTTATTCAAAGAGGCAACTCTCCACTGATAAAATAAAGAAAATAATTTCTTTTCATGTATTCTGTTCTTCTATAAAAGTGTAATGAAAGCATAAACTATAGAGCTTTATTCCCAAGTAATATTTACCAAATCCACGATCAATTTCTTTATTTTCTTTCACTGGTGCTAGTTCCAAAACTAACATTAATTGAGCTCATTTCAGGTGGAGATCATGTCCAAGTAGTATTTTTTGCACAGCAGAGTATTAGAAGAGCCTCTGTTAGTATGAGAAGTTACATAAGGGCTGGAACATAAGGCTACCCCTGTTTTCTCAGGGATAGTTTTAAGAAAGAAAAACTTACCTTATGTTCTGGCACTTTTAGTCTGTTTGAATTCTGCATGTTTTGTGTATATATCACACAGCTAGGATTTGCAAACATATTCTCCCAACTCTCACGTCACAGTAGAGTTAGACCTCACTAATCTATTAACCACTGGGGCAGAAAAAGAAGCAAGCTATAATTCACAAACCATTTGTCATTTATTTCAACTGCCTATTTCAAAAATCATCTCAATTTGAGAAAACCTGAAGTCAAATACATAGTGCAGGCATACCACATTATATTGCACTCTGCTTTATAGCACTTTGTAGATACTGGTTTTTTAAAAAATCAAAGGTTTGTGTCAACTCTGCATCGATCAGTCTATGAGCACCATTTTTGCCAAAGCATTTGACCACTTCATTTCTTTGTGTCAGATTTTGGAAATTCTCGCAATATTTCAAACTTTTTCATTCCTATTATATTTATTATGGTGATTTGTGAGCAGTGCTCTGTGATGTTACAAATGTAATTGTTTTTGGCACCATGAACCCCGCCAATATAGGACGACAAAGTTAGTCAATGAATGTTGTGTTTGTTCTGACTTCTCCACTAACTGTTCCCTGACCGCCCTCCCTCTCCTTGGGCTTCCTTATTCCCTGAGACAAAAGAATATTGAATTCAGGCCAGTGAATAACCCTACAACGGCCTCTAGGTGGCCAAATGAAAAGAAGAGCTGCATGTTTCTCATTTTAAAGGCTAGACTTGAGTAAGCTGAGTGAGGAAGGCATATCAAAGCCTAGATAAGCCAAAAGCTAGGCCTCTTACACGAGTTAGCCAAGTTTTGACTGCAAAGGAAAAGTTCTTGAAGCAAATGAAAAGTCCTACTCCAGTGAACACACAAATGGTAAGAAAGTGAAACAGCCTTAATTCTAATATGGAGAAAGTTTTTGCAGTCTGGATAGAAGATCAAACCAGCCACAATGTTCCCTTAAGCCAAAGCCTAATACAGAGCAAGGCTGTAAAGCTCTTCAATTCTATGAATGCTGAGAGGGGTTAGGATACAGCAGAGGAAAAGTTTGAAGCTAACAGTTCAGTTCATGCGGTTTAAGGAAAGAAGCCATCTCCATAACATAGAAGTGCAAGGGGAAGCAGCAAGTGCTGCTGTAGAAGCTGCAGCAAGTTCTCCAGAAGATCTAGCTGAGAAAATTCACGAAGGTGGCTATGCTAAACAACAGATTTTCAGTGTAGATGAAACAGCCTTGTGTTGGAAGAAGATGCCATCTAGGACGCTCGTAGCTAGAGAGGAGAACTCAACGCCTGGCTTCAAAGTTTTGAAGGACAGACTGGCTCTCTTTTTCTGGGCTAATGCAGCTGATGACTTTATGTTCACTTGCCATTCTGAAAATCCTGGGGTCCTTAGAATTATGCTAAATCTACTCTGCCCGTGCTATATGACTGAAACAGTAAAACCTGGGTATCTGTTTAGAACATGCTTTATTGAATATGTTAAGCCTACTGTTGAGACCTAATGCTCAGACAAGAGGATTCCTTTCAAAGTATTGTTCCTCATTGACAATGCACCTGTTCACCCAAGAGCTCTGATAGAGATGTACAATGAGATTCATGTGCTTTTCATGCCTGCTAATAAAAAGTGCATTCTGTAGCCAATGGATCAAGGAGTAATTTTGACTTCCCAGTCTTATTTTTTGATAAATACATTTCATAAGGTTAGAACTGCCATAGTAAGTCTTCTGATTGATGTCGGCAACGTAAATTGAAAATCTTCTAGAAAGGATTCACCATTCTAGATGCCATTAAGAACATTTGTGATTCGTTGAAAGAGGTCAAAATATCAACATTAACAGGAATTTGGAAGAGGTTTATTTAACTCTCATGGACGACTTCGAGGGCTTCAAGACTTCAGTGGAGGAGGTACCTGAAGATATGTGGAAATAGCAAGACAGCTAGAATTAGAAGTGGAGCCTGAAGGTGTGAGTGAATTGCTCTAGTCTCATGATTAAATTTTAATGGATGAGAAGCTGCTTCTTTATGAAGGAGCAAAGAAACTGGTTTCTTGAGATGATATCTCTTCCCGGCGAAGATGCTTTGGAGATTTTGAAACGACAATGAAGACTTACAACGTTGCACGCACTTAGTTGGTAAAGCAGTGGCAGAGTTTGAAAGGATTGACTCTGATTTTGAAAGTTCTACTGTGGGTAAAATGCTATCAAACAGCATCACATGCTATAGAGAAACAGCTTGTGAAAGGAAGATTCAATTGATGTGGCAAACTTCATTGTTGCCTTATTTTAAGAAATGGCCACAGCCATCTCAGTCTTCAGCAACCACCACCATGATCATTCAGCATCCATCAACATTGAGCAAGGCTCTCCACCAGCAAGAAGATTAGGACCCATGAAGGCTCAGATACTTGGCATTCTTCAGCAATCAAATATTTTTTAATTAAGGTAGGTACATGGTGTTTTTAGACATAATGCTCTTCTACACTTAATAGACTATGGTATATTGTAAACGTAACTTTTATATGCACTGGGAAACCAAAAAGTTGTGTGACTTGCTCAACTGTAATATTTATTTTGTTGTGGTGGTCTGGAACTGAACCTGTAACATTTTTGAGGTATGCGTATACAGTCAAACCATGAAATATAAATAAATGTCAAAACCACTAAGGAGAGCAGAGGAAAAAAGGTCTCTGATTATCTAGCAAGAAGCACAGGCTCAAATTTTATGCTCAAAGGTAGGAGAAAAAATGTAGTGGAATTCAGCCTTTTCATTAACTGATAAAACGAAACAAACCAAATTTCCAAATAAGATATGTTTATCCCACTATAAAATTAGTAAAGGATTTTAATGCATGAGTCCTTTAGGAGCAAAGTGAAATATGAAGTGGGCATTGCCTTTAAATCCAATTTATAAAATGGAAGAAGTCATCTTTCAGCAAACCCAGTTTATCCCACTCCTGCATCAATGCTTTGGGCATCGTAATATTGAGTGTCATCCACAGATGGTGACCCTCAGCAGATATGGTCAAGCAGGTAATGTTTAGTGGTCTAACATGGCAATAGGAGGATTTGAAGACAGGTCTCCTGCCATCTCTCCAGCCATTTTACCTTCAAGGCCCACTGCCAAGAATTTCAAGCTGAACTTTCCACGTGAACAGGAAGATTGTCAACTGGAGCCTGAAATGTCTGGTGAAAACTTGGAATGCAAATAGATTGTGCTGTTGATCAGGGAAAAGAGCCATTTGTTTTGGACAACACAAGTGAAGCAGTTCCATACACTGACTGAATATTATTAGACTTTAGCTAATATTCTCTTTGATTTTCTTAACACTGGGCATGCAGAGGATAAGACAAGACAATGATTGCCTAGTAATTGGCTGTATGAAAGGCGTGTTTCCTCTGACGATGGCTTTGAGAATTCCAGGCTTATTAGAGGAAAGTGGAATGCAAACGAAGGGACAAGTCTTCACGCTTAATTTCCACCGTCTAATGGCACCCCCAAAACACTGAATTCCTGTTAGTAAGGACAAGGTTTGGTCCCATGAGTTTAAGATGTCATATTGGAGCACACAGTCATCACAAATTATTAATAATGATATAATAACCTTACGATAATTATAATCTATATTTCTATAGCATTTTTAATTAAATCCCTTTTCAGATCTTGTTTCATTTTGGTCTCACTTCAGCTCTGGTAGGGATGTTGTATTATTTACACTAACATCACTGTTTTCAAACAAATAAAGCGCCAAAGCCTTTAGTTTACTTGATTTCTCAGCCCCAGAACTTGGCTGTATACTTGTTTTGAGCAAAATGCACTAGGACAAGAACCCTGGTCTCTTGAGCCGCAGGCTACATAGTTCCCTAGAATTTGAAGAACTCAGAGAAGCTAATTAGTCTAAAGTTTTTGATACGAGTTGATCACTGTGGAATTGTTAAACAAAACTCTTCAGTTTTGGAACAAAACTTGTCATCGGAGGTAGGTATTAGAAGAATGGAGCTTTTGAAGGTAATAGAGGGAAGGCAAGAAGCAATTAAATTGATAGTTAAGAAAGTTTAGGAAAAAGAGGAGTGTGATGGGATTGGATGTTGAAATCTTGAGAGATTTTAAAATAAATCCTTATGACAAAGAATAGCAAAGGTACCATTGTGCAAAGATCAGAATAGGCTTGGCTTTGTGTACATATGGAGTTAGATAGGGGACTGAAATACGACGTATGTAATTATCATGAAAGTGTTTGGTCCGCGGATAAAGCTTATGAGTACAGGTGAGTTTTGTGAGTTGACACTTCTCCTTTCTAACGGTGAGAGGGTGTCTTCAAGGAGTCTGGTCTTTGGAGTCAGGCTGACCTGGCTCCACCACTTACGTCCTGCTTATGTGAACTTGGGGGACGATTCTCTGGCCTCAGTTTCCTAATCCATAAAAGGGGATGACAGTTTGTATCCAGCAGGGCTTGTATGAGAGTCAAATGAAATCGTGTGAGTAAAGTACTTGGCACATTGTCCAACACCTAACAAGTGCTGGATACAACGTTCCCCCAATTCAAATGTGAAGAGAGATTTGTATCCAGTGTGGGGAGTGGTTTGCAGCCAATGACATGGACAAAGCAGCAACTCTCCAGAGAATCAGCTTCCTTCCAACTGCTCCACTGGAAAGTTATCTTACTGTCTTCCACTCACACACAGAGTAGGAATTTGGAGGTGTTTGTTACTCTTTAGCAGACTTTTCCCTTATTGGCAAGAAAAATAAGATTAAAATTTGTTTGTTTTTTATTTTGTTCTTGTTCTATGCTTTAAATCTTAGTCTATATTTTAATTGATATTATTTCTAACTGCTATATTTATTGGTCTTAAAATTTAAATCTTAGTCTATATTTTAATTGATGTTATTTCTAACTGCTATATTTATTGGTCTTAAAATTTATAAGCAAAAGGTTTGAGCTTCATGTTCATGTTTATCAGAAGAAAAGTTTAAATTAATACAGAAAATGGTTGATGTAAAATCAGTTATTGCAGAAAGTTGTCATAAATTTGAAATGCACACTTAAATAGGAAAGAGCTATAATTGCTTATTTGATAAAAGAAAAATTAAAAGAAGAAACTAGAGAACGCAAATAAATATCAATGTGTAGGTTTGAAATATTATACTTTCAATTAAAAATGTAGTTGAGATTTGCTAAATTTATGTAGAAATTATACTGCTGCATCTTAGTAAAATATAAACACCTCAGGCAATTTCACTGAAATGTATTATTTGATCATGCAGAGGAATTTATATAAATGAATTAGACAGGTCTACTAATTTTTTTACCTGATTTCCTTTCTATGCAACATGAAAATGATTTTGACCATGAAAAACACTGTTAAGAAGTTTTAAAAAGGATTTTTAAGTAAAAAGCATCTCATATAATTATTTAAAATATAGGCACTAACCCTATATAGGCAAGTACATTATTTAATACTCAGCTGACTATTACATTGAGAAAGTTATGTAAATTCCAGATTCATTTTATCTTTACAAGAATGAAACTAATTCCAGGTTAGGAAAAGGGACAGGAGGTAAGAATAGTGTGGTGTTATACAGAAATTTTTCAATTGATCATTTCAATTACAATTTCATCGTTGTAACGAATCAGAGGTATTCCTATGAATAAACAAAAGTTCCTAAGATGAGAATTAGATTCTTTAACATATTGACTAAAGACTAAACTTATGTAAATAAGATGTAAGATTGAAAACTTCATCTTGTTTGATAACACACTTTAAATTACAGAGTATAAGGTTGGAGAAATATAGTGTCTTACTATCATCATCAATAAAGTGTCATTTACACTAGAAGAAAGATGTGTAAAATTAAAATAAGCACATTAGGATCTAATTATACCTAAAGCATGAGAAAAAACTCAACTTTCTTTGCTTACTGATTTACTGCAAAAATCAGGAGTTTTGCTATAGAGTCAGATCTTCCCTAGAATTCTTTTTTCTTTTCTTCTCAAATGAGACGTCTAATGCTTCTTTTCCTAAGAAATTGTCCATTGAATAATGCAAGTCCAAACTAGCCCAAAGAGAATATTAGTAAAGCATCTGTGTGTCGATTTGGAATCAAATTGGAAAGAGTTTTAATATTTATAATTCCCATCACTAAATTAACAATAAACGTGTAGTCACCTAACATTCCAGCATCCAAGTGATGTGCCTTTGTAAACCATGATGTTCTCTTATATGTTTTGACATTAAGTCTGCAAGAGATTCTGGAATTGTGACATTTAACATTACACCAATGATATATGTATTTTATTCAGCAGGTGATGACAAAGAAAATAGTGGAGCTCTAAAACAGCTCAGCAGAATTTTAGGGAAGATATGAATCTCAGAGGAGACACTGAGATTCAAAATGTGGTGTATTCTTCGTCATGCTTAAACTTCAAATAACATTCCAAAATAAAATATGCTTTTGGTGAATATTTTCCAAAGTGAAACAAAATTCTGATGAGTGCATTTACTTGATGAGATTAATATCATAGAGTTTCTGAAAGCTGTATGAAAAATTATTGATTACAAATTTTAATAGAACTTTTGGAAATATTGCTATTTTGCTTCTAAATTCAAAGAACTGTAGATAATTTTGATGTGCTGCACGCCGTACTCAAAACCATGGGGTAGTTCAGATGTGCCATTGAGATCTTATATAAAATTAGACATCAAGTGGGAGATATTCATTAACTCATAACTGGGCGTGGCTCCACATTTGAAGCTAAAAGGTTTACTCGATTGTCAGGTACACATGGAAATGGACTCATTAACAAGTGACTGTGCAGTGTATTACAAAAAAATGAAAAACTTCCTCCTGATATTTATTTATATGGTAAATGTGACAAATATGGCATTTTCCACAAACAGTTAAATGAAGAGTGAGGTTTCGCAGAGCTGCAGAACATGAGAAAATGTTATTTGGCCCAAAGAGCATAAATCACAAAATTCACAGGATTAGAAAGGGAAATACTTTAAAAAAGACCAAATGGTCTCATGAGCAGAGACATCATCAACGTTACCTGGTCTCCTCCCCCATCCCTGCCACCTTCCCACTCACCTTGAAGACAAACTCCACTATGATGGAACAAAAGAGATTTTAAAAAATACGTGTGTTCTTGAATGTTAGATGCCTTGAAATGGGGCAGTTAAGAGTCACACTCTATCTTAGCATGTGGAGAAAGAACAAAGACCAAGGTTTTATCCAGGCTCTGCCAACTAAAGCTGAGACTCTGGGCAAGTTACATTACATCTGGAACTTCTTTTCCCATTGAAAATAAGAACAATAAATACTCACAACCTAAAGTGGAAGAAAGACCACGGTAAGCACTAACTCAATGGTGGCTTTTCTTCCCTTTACTTTACATTGGGTCATTTCAGACCACACAGTCTTTGTGCTTCTCTAACGAGTCTTTTTAATTACTATTCCATTTTCCCCACAGATAGACGCCTTCCGGCAGACATTTCCCCCAAGCCCACCATTTTTCTTCCTTCAATTGCTGAAATCAAACGCCACAAAGCTGGAACACATCTGTGTCTTCTTGAGAATTTTTTCCCAGATGTTATCAAGGTATATTGGAAAGAAAAGAATGGCAATAGAATTCTGGAATCCCAGGAGGGAAAAACCATGAAGACCAGTGACACATACATGAAACTCAGCTGGCTGACCGTGACTGAAAAGTCAATGGATAAAGAACACAAATGTATCGTCCAACACGAGAAAAATAAAGGAGGGGTTGACCAAGAGATTCTCTTTCCTTCAGTGAATCAAGGTATGTGCATGTAAATATAACCTCGCAGAACACTTGTTTTCAAAGGGATACAACATCATTTCTGTCAAATGTTAAGGAAAAACAAACAAATATAAATTTTCTTAAATGTTGTTTCATTTATTGGCAGCAAAAATGACCCTGTATTTCCCCGTAAAATTAAAATAGTGTATGCTTTGGAACTATGAAAAGAAAAATAAAATGAAAAATTTACTTAACCTTTCTCAGCCTGAGATTCATCCTCCAATATATTAAGGTGGCAATGATTTTTCTACTCAGCAGGCAATGTCACTCTCACTTTCATCTTGCTATACTCAGAGTACAACCCCAAAACAATGTTATTAGGTGACCAAATGGTATTCCCTTGAGGGAGCCAGATGGCAGATCAACAGAAAATCAAATAATTTGGCCACTGCAGTTTTGTTATGGTCTTAGTTTCTCCAGGTTTGTATTTCATATACCTGAGTATGAACACAACAGACCAAAGGCCCTAGAGCACCCATAAATGAGAAGGAATCAGTTTGTACTTCTCCCTGTGGTTAACAAGCCCTTTGAAGCCGCAGGGAACAAGCACATAAATTATGCAGAGAACTTGCTGTGTAATAGTCCAAATTTCTGAAGTCTTTCTTTATCTACTCGGATCCTTAGATCATCAGTGATCAAATTAGGTTCGAAAACCTACCTTGGCTTTCTGCTGGGGCCCTGAGTTAACAAGTCTTTTTTTTTTTTGAAATTCAGCATAATACAATTTTTATTCAACCTCATCCAGCTCATATCGGCAACTCCTTTCTCAGACGCCAAATCATCTTGTTCTCAATAACAGCAACGTAATTTCTTATTAGAATACAAACCCATTAATTTCAGAAAAACAATACTAACACCACCTTCAACCATATACTGAAAACAATTTAGGAGTTTATTGCAGTTTTCATGGTTTTTTTTCTACAGTAAAATTACGGTTGTAATGCTTCTTGGAATAACGTCTCTCTCTCTTAAGCCACCAACTGGATATACAGGTTCATTTGTTTCATTTTGCTTTTTAGGAACTTGTAAATTAATTAAATTAAATTAATTTTGTTTTATAACTTTGTAAAATATTTGCATGGTTCCAAGCTCAGATTCAACACAACGAAGTATATTCAGAGACATATAGCTTTTATCTTTGTATTCTTTCTTTCTTTTTTCAGTTATTTAATTGAGGTCATAATGGTTTATAACATTGTGTAATTTCAGGTGTGCATTATTATTTATCACTTTCTGTGTAGACTACATCGTGCTCACCACCAGCAGTCTAAGTTTTATCTGTCATCGTATGTATGCCCCTTTACCCCTTACGTCCACCCCCCCAATCCCCTTCCCCTCTGGTAACCACTGATCTGTTCTCTTTATCTATGTGTTTATCTTCTACATATGAGTGAAATCATGTTGTGTTTCCCTTTCTCTGTCTGGATTATTTCATTTAACAAATCCTTTTTAGACAGGGCGAAACAGGCACATAATGAAACGTGCAAAGACCTTTTAGCCCGAATTTCTGAAGTCAGTCTTTAACTTCTTGGATCCTGAGTTTCATCAGTGACCAAATTAGGTGCCAAAAATTGCCTGGCTTTCTCCTGGGGCCGTGACAAAGAGCAAATGAAATAATGTCAGTGAAAACTCTTGCTTTTGAAAACAGAACACAGATGTAGTTATTTCTGTATATTGTCGGCATGCTTCCTCAAGTCAGATGGGAAATTTGCCAACATCAAATACCTTCAAATGTTAGATTCTTTTGTGGATTCTAATTTTGATGGATGGATTTTGGTAGCAACTCTTCATGTCAGCGGTGTGTGCTGAAGACTGTAGAGTAGCCACATTTTCTGTTTCTTTTTCCATTGGACAAGTGTTTCTTCCTCACCTCCTCTGTGGCAGACACTGTGCTAGGAACTGGGAATACAGAAAGAAAACAAGATAGTGTTGCACATTACCACCCACTTGTGAGGAAGAAGAAAAAAACATATTCTTCATGAAGGTCAACATCCTCAGGTGTAGAAACAAGACACCTGAATGAGATCTACTGAATTACACAGAATTAGGTAAACTACTCCTGGAATCATGGGGCTCATGTGTTTAAGGGCAGTCCCTCTGTCAGTGGATTATGTGTGTGTGTGTGTGTCTGTGTGTGTGTGTGTGTGAGTACATACACATCACTCATACAAAGACATAACCAGAGTATCGAGCAATAGGCATGAATAATTGACTAATCTTGCTCCCATTTCTTCTAGTTGTCGCCTCAATGACCACCACTATTGCTCCAACAACGGCTTCTACGACAGAGAAAAGGAGTAAGTCATTGTATTTACCTCTCTGTCACGCTATAGGTTTTTTGTCGTCTCATTGACTTAACTTTTGTATTTCTCACGCTTAAAAAGCAGAAGACCAATTATTCCTCGAATTTTGGGCTCATAGTTTTCATATTTTTGGTGACTGTCCCTCCTTTCTGTCAGCAGATTTTATATACATATATATATATATTTATATATATATAGCTATACACAAGCACAGACTGTCAAACAATGGGCATGGAGAATTGACCAATATTTGCTCTCATTTCTTCTAGTTGTCACTGTTACTAACGGTACAACAGCTTCCCCAACAGAGCAAAGTGGTAATTCTTTCTATATGCTTGCCTTCGTGTCATGCTATGGTATTTTTTACCCCTCCTGATCAAATCACCTTTTGAACTTTCCTGGTTTATAGTAGATAATATTAGTGATTACTGGAATTGTAGAGCACATATTTTTAATGAGGATCTCTCCTGTCCCTCCATTGGCAGATTTTATACACATATATAGGTATATTCACCAAATAATGTCATAAAAAATTGACTAATACTTGCTCTCCTTTTTTCTAGAGTTTCCAGCTATTAATTCTAGAGAAGCTTCTCTAAAAGACGAAAGCTGTTCAGTTTTTATATATGTCTGCATTTATGTCACGTTACAGCATTTTTTTTCCTTGGAATAAATTTAACTTTTGAACTCTCCTGTCTTAAGATTGGCAAACTAAAACGGCTAGATGTTACAGAAATGACTGAGTGATATTTTGAATCCAACCATCATTTCCTAAGAGCCATCTTAATACAGTAAATGCTGGATTTGGGATGAGATGATTGCAATTTAGAGGGCGCAGTAATAGACTGTGAATTATTTCAGCAATGGACTGCACTCATTTGTGTGGCTTTTGTTTCTAATGACTGAGGAATGTGTGATATGAAGGTGCGTCTAGATTTTTTTTTTCAGTCTTTCGTCTTTGCTAGTACCTAATAACAAGAACTGACAGGTAATTTCAATAGAGAGCTTTCTATACTGAAGGTATTGTGCTATGTTTTGCATGCATTTTCTTGGTTAATACTCATAACTCTCCTATGAGGTGGTAGAATATTTTTTCACAATTTTCTAGCTGGAGGAAATAAGTTAAAATTAATTAAGTCAATTACCCCATGCCACACAGCTAGACCCGGGGATTCAAACCAGCCATCTGAATGAAGAGTTCATACAGTTACTTAGCTCTTCCTTCTTCCTCTATGGTATGGTCCTAGAACCAGAAACCCCACAGCCAAGGCCTTGAGACGTGACTGACATATGGTGGGGGGGTGAGTAAGTACAGAGACTTCACAGTATCCCAGACTGGACTTCAACCCCAATTCTTTTCATCATTAGCTGCATCAATATAGGAAAATTACTTACATTTTATGACCAGCAATTTTCTCATCTTCCACCCAGTGATAACTGTACGTAATGCAGTGATTGAAGAGACAAGGTCACCTATACTGAATGTCTAGCATGGGGTATCTCATTTGGCTGTCACAGAATCAGTACTAATTTCTGGCCCTTTTTCCCTACATATGTACAAAGAAAGTGACTAGAAGCGTTGGTTCCAGCCCTACTGATCTTTCCTCCATTTCTAATCTCAAGGGGGCTCTGGACCTCAGCTAACACTTTGCCTGACCAAGGCCAAGGAGTTATGAGCACATCACCTGTGAGATCCCTTTCCACACAAGAGCTAATGATTCTGCAGTTCTGACTCTCGAAGATAAAACTTGCCAAAGGGAAATTTTCTCAGGTAGAAACTCATCCTTGTGGTTCACTGAATAGCTAGTCTGGCTCACCATCACTATTGCTAATTAAACAAATATAATTCTTTCTTCAACGTTACTCCATTTTTTGGTAGCATAAATGACACTCTATTTCTCCACAGAATTAACATAGTATAGGCTTCAAAACATAAAAAAGAAAAATAAAAATTTACTTAAGTTTTCTCAGCATGAGATTTGTCCCCTCAAATATCAAGGTCACAATAATGTCTTTTAGGGTGGTTGCATGGGTTAAATGAAACAAGATATGGGAAATCACCTGGCGCTCAGGACACAAGAAATGCTCAAAAAGAGATTCCGCTTTGGATGATCTGACTTGACCAAGAAATAAGAGCAATTATACGTTTTTCAGGAATGTTCTTCTCAGCAAGCAGAGTCACTTACACTTTCATCTTGATTTACTCAGAGTACAACCCAAAATCAATGCTGTTAGGTGACAAAATGGTGTTCATTTTAGGGAGCTGGACAGCAGCTCACCAGAAAAATAAATAATTTGGCCTCTGCATTTTTATTACGGTCTTAGGGTTTCCAGATTTGCATTTCATATACCATCGTTAGGGAAAATTCCAGAATTAGAGATTGGGAGAGGCTGATGGGTGCACACACTTCCATTCTACATAATGGATGTCTTTCTTGCCATTGGTAAATGCAGCTCAACAGGCCTTTATTGTAAAACTGGCCTGTGCCGGGCCTGGAAGGAAGATGTGGATGAGGACTGTGGTATAACTTACTGTCCCAAGGAGGATGCACTATTGTAAGTGAATATTTTCTTTTCCTAGACACTCAGGGTCACTCACAATACAGGCATGATGTCCCCAAGGGGCCTCTTTAATGCTGATGCTACATGTATTTAGAGAGTGTGGGCAGAGGGCTGAGTGAGCCTTGGTCCTGACAGTGGTCTGGGTAACACTCTAGACATGGGACTTAAAGTCCTGAGTATGAGAACCACAGAGCAAAGGCCCCAGAGCATCTGTAAATTGGAAGGAATCAGTCTGTGCTTTTCCCTGTGGTTAACAAGCCCTTTTGAAGCAGTGAGGAAGAAGCTCAGAACAAAATGTGCGAAAACATTTGCTGTGTACCAGTGTGAAATTTGAAAGTCAGTCTTTATCTTCCGGGATCCTTGGATTCATCAGTGATCAAATTAGGTTTGAAAACTTGCTCTGGTTTTCTCCTGGGGCCGTGAAGTAGAGTAAATGAAATAATGTCAATGAAAACACTTGCTTTTGAAAAAACCCCATGCATGTATTTATTCATGTATTTATTGTATCTTTTAATTTCCTTTCTTGAAATTCAATAAGATAACATTGATTCAACAGCCCTAATTTACTATTTATACAGCTAAGAAACAGAGGAGAAGCAAATATGCAAAGCACACATTTAATACAACCACTGGGCTGAAGTGTCCTGTTAGGTTTTGATTTCTCTAGTGATCAGGGAAAAATAAGCAGTATGGGAAGTTCCACGGTGATGATCATCATAGAGAAGTTCCAGTTCAGAATGCGTTTTACTTGGTGCCTAATTTCTGAAACAAATGTCTCCTATGGGCTTCCCTGGGCAAGAAAGCTAATGAGGACAGTTCTGTTAATATCATCCTACAGCCAATTTTTGATGCTGTTTCCTGGAAGTTTTTAGTTTTTGATAAAAGTTAAGAATACAACTTGGAAAGATTGCTCATGGAAAGGATTTTGAAGAAGATCTCATTAGTCTGGTCCAGGATTTTGACCAAGCTTGGTTGAGAGAGAGAACTTAGGATACATACACAGATTTTATTATGAAAAACTGTTTCTTTACTGTTTTTCCTCAATCAGTGCATGGTACTAAGAGAATTTGATTTATCTTTTGATGCATAAGTCACTGTTAAGGGAAAGAGACAGTTTTAAAACACGTTGAAGTCGGTTCTTGAAGATATTTTAACATATAAACGTGATTAACCTAGCATTTTTATTCTCGGAATTTATTCCAAATCCTATAGCTCAAACCTACTTTCAAAGCCATGAAAGAAAGATCCAATATAGTGCATAAAATTGCATACCAAAACCATATCCATCTGCACAAGAACACATCTAGCACAAAAAGGATTAACTAAAACAATGGTTTCTACTCTGTTTTCCTCCATCCAGTAGTCAGGTATCTTTAAAAAAATTATCTTTGTCTATTTGACTTCTTTTAAAAAAGGAAACATAGTTAAATCTCACCTCAGGTTATATATATTCAGAGAAGTGTAATTGTGGCACGGTTTATTTTTCTATCTCTAGAAAGAAATGCACTGAAATCCTGGGCTCCCATAATAAAAAAACATTTTGCCAAGAATATTTCACACCTCTGGAAGAGAACACGACTACAGTGTCCAGAATGGCGGAATTATGTTGTTTCTATAGATTATTTTCTATTTCTATGGATTATGTTTACAAACTCGTTTCTACCTGCTCTATCTCACTGAATCTGCCACAACAATCCTTTGAATATTGGCTCTGCCCTCAGTGGTATAATTCTCAGCAAGTTACTTAGATTCCCAACCATATTTCCTTGTTTGCAACAAGGAGTCCTCCAAAACACAACTCACTTCAGTGTGAGTGAAGCATTGAAAAAGATAATGCATGAGAAGCATTTAACATAGTGCCCGCTGCAGAAGTACTCATTCAATATCTATTAAATTTTATCCATGCTGTTGTCACCTCCAGAAAGAACCCAACTCCAGAAAATCATGTGCTGAGTTGGGGATGTTGGGATAGTCATGCTCTGGAAAGGTATGCCTCATTCGTGGGGAATTAACCTAAACTGGACTCCTTCAAGCGTGAGGTTCTAAGGTACATTCGGAGAGTTGATGAATTGATTTTGGTAGCAACTCTACATGTCAGCGTTGTGTGCTGAAGACTGTAGAGCAGCCACATTTTCTGTTTCTTTTTCCATTCAACAAGTATCTTTCCATCACCTCGTTTGTGACTGACACTGTGCTAGGAGCTGTGAATACAGAAGGAAAATAAGATAGTCTTGGATATGACTGTCCAGTTGTGAAAAGAAGAACAAAATGTGTGCTTCTTGAGGGTGAAGATCTTCATGTGCAGAAACACAATTCATGAATGAGATCTACTGAAGTCTGTAGAATCAGATGAACTAGCTCTGGAATCCTAGGGGTCCTGATTTTAAGGACAGTCTCTCTGTCAGCAGATTTTGTGTGTGTGTGTGTGCATACACACCTACTTGTATAAACACATACCCAGACTATCAAGCAATAGGCATGAATGATTGACTAATCTTGCTCTCATTTCTTCTAGTTGCCACCTCAAAGGCCACTACTGTTGGGTCTACAACGGCTTATACGACAGAGGAGAGCAGTAAGTCATTGTCTATGTTTGCCTATGTTTGGTAGCAACTCTTCATGTCAGCGTTGTGTGCTGGAGACTGTAGAGCAGCCACATTTTCTGTTTCTTTTTCCATTCAACAAGTATCTTTTCATCACCTCGTTTGTGACTGACACTGTGCTAGGAGCTGTGAATACAGAAGGAAAATAAGATAGTCTTGGATATGACTGTCCAGTTGTGAAAAGAAGAACAAAATGTGTGCTTCTTGAGGGTGAAGATCTTCATGTGCAGAAACACAATTCATGAATGAGATCTACTGAAGTCTGTGGAATCAGATGAACTAGCTCTGGAATCCTAGGGGTCCTGATTTTAAGGACAGTCTCTCTGTCAGCAGATTGTGTGTGTGTGTGTGTGTGTGTGTGCATACACACCTACTTGTATAAACACATACCCAGACTATCAAGCAAAGGCATGAATGATTGACTAATCTTGCTCTCATTTCTTCTAGTTGCCACCTCAAAGGCCACTACTGTTGGTCCCACAACGGCTTATACGACAGAGGAAAGCAGTAAGTCATTGTCTGTTTGCCTCTCTCTTGTGTGGTAGGCTATTTTCCTTCTGAATCAGCTTAACTTTTCCATTTCTCCGGCTTAAAATACAAAAGAACAAGTATTCTTGGAATTCTTGGGCTCATATTTTTCTTATTTTTGGTGACTATACCTCTTGTCTGACAAATAGAAATATATACGTATATATATTTACATATATATGTGTATGTATATATATATATATTCCTATATATGCACACACTGTCAAAGAATGGGCATGGACAATTGAGCAATAATTCCTCTCATTTCTTCCGGTTGTCTCTGCTACTAATGTTATAATAGCTTCCCCAAAAGGGCAGAGTCGTAAATTCTTTTAGAGGCTTGTCTTCATGTCATGGTATGGCATTTTTCCCCTCATGACCAAATCACCTTTTGAACTTGCCTGGTTTATGGTTTATCGTAGACAAGACTATTTATACCAGAAATTATAGAGCACAAACCTTCAAAGAGTTTCTCTGCTGTGTCTCTCTTGACAAATTATATATTTATTTATTTATTAATTGTTTGTGTATTTATTTACATCTCATGGACTGTACTTCAACCCAAGTTCTTTTAATGATTACTTGCATCTAGATGGGAAAATTACTTACATTTTATGAGCAATGATTTCCTCATCTGCCAGTCAAAAATAGTTACCCCCAAAGCGATTATTGAAGAGGAGAGCTCACCTATGCTGAATATCTAGCATAAGGCAACTCATTTGGCTGCCACAGAATCAGTTCTAATTTCTGGCCCCTTCTCCCTACATATTTACAAATAAAGTGACTAGAAGCATTGGCTCTAGCCTTGCTGATCTTTCCTCCAATTCCAGTATCAAGGGGTCTCAGGACCTCAGCTAACACCTTGTCTGACTAAGGGCAATTAGTGATGAACACATCACATTTGAGACCACTCTGTGCAAGAAAAGGTAATGATTCTGGAGTTCTGATGTTTGAAGATAAAATATCTCAAAGGGAAATTTTCCCACAAAGAGATTCAGCCTTGTGGTTCACTGAAAAGCTTGTCTGGCTCACCATCACTATCATTAACTGAACAAATGTAAGTCTTTCTTAAATGTTGTCACATATATTGGTACCACAAAAGTCCCTCTATTTTCCTCCAAATTTGAGGTAGTAAAGACTTCGGAATCTAAAAATAAAGAAAAACAAAATTCTACTTAGCTATCTCAGACTGTGATTCATCCTCTGAAATATTAAGGTCAGAATGATTTCTTTTCGGATGGTTGGGTGGCTTGAATGACACAAGATATGTGAGAGCGCCTAGCTCTAGCACAAGAGAAATGCTCAAAGACAGATTCCACTGTGGATGATCTTATTTGATCAGGAAACTAGAGCCATTATACATCTTTCAGGAATGTTCTACTCAATAGCAGAGTCACTCTCACTTTCATCTTGCTTTACTCAGAGTACAAGCCCAAAATAATGATATTAGGTGACCAAATGCTGTACATTTGAGGGGGTAAGATGGCAGCTCCACAGAAAAATAAATGCTTTGGCCACTGAAGTTTTGTTATGGTCTTAGGGTTTCCAGATTTGTATTTTATATACCATTGTAAGGAAAAATTCCATAATTGCAGGTTGAGTAAGGCTGATGTGTAAACCCATACTTCCATTCTACATAATGAATGTGTTCCTTGCCACTTTAAATACAGTTCATGAAACATTTATTGCATAACTGTCCTCTGCCAGGCCTGGAAAGGATGCGTAGGTGAGGACAGTGGGATGTCTTACTGCCCCTAGGAGGATCCACTATTGTGAGAGAATATCTTCCTTTCCTAGACACTCTGGGTCACTCGTGATTCAGGCATGATGTCCCAAAGGCGTCCCTTTGATGCAGATGCTGCATGAATTGAGAGAGTGTGAGCATAGGGCTGAACGTGCCTTGGTCCTGGCAGTGGTGGGGTAACTCTCTAGTCACAGAACTTAAAGCACTGAGCATGAACACAAGAGACCGCTGTCCCCAGAGCATGTATAACTAAGAACGAATCAGTTTGTACTTTCCCCTGTGGTTAACAAGCCCTTTGAAGCCGTGGAGAGCAAGCACATAACAAATTGTGCAGAGACCTTTGCTGTGTACCCATGGGAATTTCTGAAGTCACTCTTTATCTACTCAGATCCTTACATTCACCAGCGATCAAATTAGGTTCGGTAACTTTCCCTGGCTTTGTCCCGGGGCCATGATGTAGAGCAAATGACATAACGTCAGTGAAAACACTTGCTTTTGAAAATCTAACACACATGTCATTATCTATGTATTTTTTGCAGTTTTTTTTTCTTTCCTGGAAGTTACTACAGTAAAATTAATACAACAGCCCTAATATACTATTTCTACAGCAAAGTAACATAGGGGAATAAAAATATGCAAAGCACACTTTTAATACAACCACTAGACTGAATTGTCCTGTTAGGTTTTGATTTTTCTAATGTTCAGGGAAAAATAAGAAGCATAGGAAGTTCCATGGTGATGACCATTATAGGGAAGTTCCAGGTCAGAATGTGTTTTACCTGGTGCCTATATCTGAAGCAAATGTCTCCTACGGTCTTCTCAGGGCAACAAAGCTAATGAGGACAGTTCTGTTAACGCCATTCTACAGCCAATTTCTAATGCTGTTTCTTGGAAGTTTTTAGTTTTTGATAAAAGCTAAGAATACAACTTGGAAGTACTGCTCCTGGAAATGATTTTGAAGAAGATAAAACTGTTCTGGTCCAGGATTTTGAGCAAGCTTGGTTGAGAGAACTTAGGATACATACACAGATTTTCTTATGAAAAACAGTTACTTTATTGTTTTTCCTCAATCAATTCATGGTAATAAGAGACGTTGATTTATCTTTTTATGAGTAAGTCACTGTTAAGGGAAAGAAAGAGTTTTAAAACACATTGAAGTCGGTTCTTGAAGATATTTTAACATATAAACGTGATTAACCTAGCATTTTTATTCTTGAAATTTATTCCAAATCCTATAGCTCAAACCCACTTTCAGAGCCATGAAAGAAAGATCCAATATAGTGCATAAAATTGCATACCAAAACCATATCCATCTGCACAAGAACACGTCTAGCAGAAAAAAGATAAACTAAAACAATGCTTTCAACTCTGTTTTCCTCCATCCTAGAGTCAATTATCTTTCAAAAATTTTTTACTTTGTTTGACTTCCTTTTTATAAAAAAAGAACATAGATAAATCTCACCTCATCTTGTATATATTCAGCCAAGTATAAATGTGATATGGTCTATCTTTCTACTTTTGGAAAGAATTGGACTGAAATGCTCACCTCCCGTAATAAAAACTTCGTTTACTAAGTATATTTAATACGTCTGGAACAGAAGACTTTTTTGTTGTGCAGAATGTTAGAATTATGTTTCTCCATACATTATTTTATATTTCAACAGATTATTTTCACAATGTCCTTTCCAGATGTCTTTGTCACTGAATCCTCTACAATGATCCTTTGAATGCTGGCTCTGCCATCCCCGGTGTGACTGTATGCAAGTTATTTATACCCCCAAACTTATTTCTTTATTTTCAACAAGGAGTCCTACAAAATACAATTCACTTCTGTGTGACTGGAGCATCAAGCGCGATAACGCATGTGAAGCATTTAACATAGTGCCCGCCCCAGGAATAATCACTCAATAGCTTTTAGCTTGTATTCATATTGTTGTCACGTCCACAGACACCACAACTCCAGAAAGTCATGGGCATGGGTTGGGGATGTTGTAATATGTATGCTCTGGAAAGGCATGCCTGATTCCTTTGCTCTCATGGGAAATTAGCCTAAACTAGACCACTTCAAACGTGAGATTTTGTTGTGAATTCTGAGAGTCAATGACTTGATTTTGCTAGCAACTCTTCATGTCAGCAGTGTGTGCTGAAGACTGAAGAGTAGCCACATTTTCTGTTTATTTTTCCATTTGACAAGTATTTCTGCAACAGCTCCTTTGCGGCAGACACTGTGTTAAGAGCTGTGAATACAGAAGGAAAACAAGATAGTCTTGGATATTACCATCCAGTTGTGATAAAGAAGAAAAAAGAGCTTCTTTATGAAAGTCACCGTCTTCAGAAACTCAATATATGAGTTAAAGATACTGAATTACATAGAGTCAGATGAACTGTTTCTGGAATCATAGGGCTCATATTTGAAGGTCAGTCTTACTGTCAGCGGATTATGTGTGTGTGTGTGTGTGTGTGTGTACATACACACATACTCGTATAAACACATACCCATGCTATTGAGCAATAAGCATGAAGAATTGACTACTCTTGCTCCCATTTCTTCTAGTTGTCACCTCAATGGCCACTACTGTTGGTTCTACAACGGCTTATACGACAGAGGAGAGCAGTAAGTCATTGTCTATATCTGCCTTTCTATCATGCTGTAGGCTTTTTCCCTCCTGATCAACTTAACTTTTGTGCTTCTCAGGCTTAAAATATTATTCCTGGAATTGTGGGGCTCATAGTTTTCATATTTTTGGTGACTGTCTCTCCTGACTGTGAGCAGATAATATATATATGAGTGTATGTAGGATTATATATACAGACACACTGTCAAACAAATAATGGGCATGGGGAATTGACCAATACTTGCTCTCCTTTCTTCCAGTTGTCACTACTACTAAGGCTACAACAGCTCCCCCAACAGAGCACAGTGGTAAGTTTTTTAATATTCTTGCCTTCAGGTCTCGCTATGGCATTTTTCTCTCCTGATCCCTTTACCTTTTCAATTTCCCTGTTTAGAGCAGACAAGACTAATTATTGCAGGAATTGTAGAGCACATATTTTTAATGAGTATCTCCCCTGACTGTCTGTTGGTGGACTTCATATATGTGTATATGCATGTATGTACATAAATATAAATATATACAAATAAGTATATATACACACACTCATACATACATACATACGCATATAGTTCAATGGTCACCTGATTTGTAGGCTAATAAGCATGAACAGTTGACAAATACTTGCTCTCACTCCTTATTGAGATTCCTGGTATTAATTCTAGAAAAACTTATCTAAATGAGGAAAGTCATTGAGTTTTTATATATGGTGGCCTTTACGTCATGCTGCAGCCTTTTTTTCCTCTGGATAAACTTAACTCTTGAACTTCCCTGCCTTAAAATAGACAAACCAGAATGGCTGAATGTTGCAGAATCAACTGAGTGATATTTTAAATCAAATCATCATTTCTCAGGAGTCATCTTAGCACAGTAAATGCTGGCTTTGAGATGAGATGACTATAAATTACAGTGTGCAGTCATAGACTCTGAATTATTTCAATGATACACTTCATTCACTTGTGTGTCTTTTTTCCTAATGACTGAGGTATACACGATGTCAAGGTGCTTCTAGATTTTTTTTAATCTTTGATTCTTTCTAGTAGCTGATAACGTGAACTGACTCATACTGAGAGCTTCCTATACAGAAGACATTGTGCCGGGTTTTGCACTTATTTTCTTGTTTAATCCTCAAAATACTCCTATGAGGTGGTACAATATTTTTCCCCTTTTTATAGATGAAGACAATGAGTTAAAATTGATTAAGTTCCTGCACCATGCCACACAGCTAGGATCTGGGGATTCAACCTGGCCATCTGAATCAGGAGTTCATTTGCTTACTCAGTTCTCTCTTCTTCCTCTATGATATGGTCCTAGAGAAAGAATCCCCAACCCCAAGGCCCTAAGACATGCAGTAGGGGGTGGGTAAGTGCACGGGCCTCACAGTCTCCCAGACTGGACTTGAAGCCCAGTTCTTTAGTGACTAGTTGCATCAGTATAGGAAAATTACTTACATTTTCTTAGCAACACTTTCCTCATTTGACAACCAGAAATCACTACACCTAGGTCAGTTAGTGAAGAGTTAAGTTCACCTATGTGAAATGTCTAGGATAGGGTATCTCATTTAGTTGGCACGGTACTAGACTCTGACCCTTTCACCCTAAATATGTACTAAGAAAGTGACTAGAACCATCGAGTCTAGCCCTGCTGATCTTTCCTCCATTTCCAACATCAAGGCTGCTCTGGACCTCAGCAAACACCTTACCAGACAAGAGGCAAGGAGTTATGAGCGCATCACCTCACAGATCATTCCCAGAAAGAGTGATGCTGTTCTGGAATTTTGAGTTTATGAAGACAAAACACATAAAATGGATATTTCCAGAGGAAGAGACTGAACTTTATGGTTCACTGAATAGCTAGTCTTGTTCAACATCATTATCGTTGTTTAAACAAATATAAATCTTTCTTAAAAGTGGTTCTACTTGTTGGTAGCATAAGTCTACCTCTATTTCCCCATAGATCTAAAATACTGTAGGCTTTGGAACATGAAAAGGAAAAAGAAAAATTATTTAACCTTTCTCAGCCTGAGATTCATCCTCCAGATTATTAAGGTCACGATGATATTTTTTAGGGTAATTGTATGGATTAAATGAAATAAGACATGTGAAAGCACCTAGCACTTAGCACACAAGAAATACTCAAAAAGAGATTCCACTTTAATGATCTTACTTGATCAGGAGATAAGAGCTATTATATATCTATCAGGAATGTTCTACTCAGCAAGCAGAGTCGTTTTCACTTTCATCTTCCTATACTCAGAGCACAACCCCCAAAACACTTGATTAGGTGACCAAATGGTGTTCATTTGAGGGAGCCAGACAGCAGCTCAACAGAAAATCAAATAGTTTGGCCTCTGCAGTTTTACCACGGTTGTAGGTTTTCTTGGTTTGTATTTTATATATGAATGTAAGTTAAAATTCCATAACTAAGGATTGGGGAGACTAACGTGTACACACATACTTCCACTCTACATAATAAATGTATTTCTTACCATTGGTAAATGCAGCTCAGCAAACATTTATGGCAGAACTGGCCTGTTCCAGGCCTGGAAGGGATGTGTGGATGAGGACACGAGACAGAATTATTGTCCCAAGGAGGATGCACTGTTTTAAGAGAATATATTCTTTTCCTCTTCACTCGGAGTCACGGGTGACTCAGGCATGATGTCCCAAAGGAGCCTCTTTGATGCAGAAGCTGCACATATTTAGACAGCGTGGAGAGGATTGAATGTGCCTTGGTCCTGACAGTGGTCCACTACCTGCATAGCCTCAGGACTTAAATTCCTGAGTGTGAACACAACAGACCAAAGGCCCAAGAGCGCCTATAAATAGGAAGGAATCAGTTTGTACTTTTCCATGTGGTTCTCAGCCCTTTTGAGTCAGTGGGGAACAAGCACATAACAAAATGTGCAAAGACCTTAGCTGTGTACCAGTCCAAATTTCTGAAGTCATTCTTTGTCTTTCGGGATCCTTAGTTTCTTCAGCGGCAAATTAGGGTTGAACACTTGTGTTGGCTTTCTCCTGGGGCTGTGATGAAGAGCAAAGGAAATAATGTCAGTGAAAACACTTGCTTTTGAAAACATAATATGGGTATATTTATGTATTTATTGTATTTTTAAATTTCCTTTCCTGAACCTCACTAACGTAAGATTAATACAACAATGCTAATTTGCCATTTTTACAGCTAAGAAATAGAGGGGAAACAATAAATGCAAAGTACAAGTCCAATACAATGACTGGGCTGAAGCGCCCTATTAGGTTGTGATTTTTCTAGCGATCAGGGAAAAATAAGAAGCACTATAAACTCCATGGTGATGATCATCATAGAGAAGTTCCAGTTCATAATGTGTTTTGCTTGGCACCTAATTTCTGAAACGAATGTCTCCATGGACTTCTCAGGGTAACAAATCTAAAGAAGACATTTCTGCTAATGTCATTCTACAGAAAATTTCTAATACGGTTTACTGGAAGTCTTTACTTTTTGATAAAAGCTAAGAATGTAACTGGAAGTACAAATCAATGACGTGATTTTGGAGAAGATAAAACTAGTCTGGTCCTTGATTGTGACCAAGCCTGGTTGAGAGAGAGAACTTGGGGTACATATACAGATGTTATTATGAAAATCTGTTACTTTATTGTCTTACCTCAATCAATACATGTAATAAGAGATTTTGATTTATGTTTAATGAATAAGACACTGTTAATGAAAACAAAGAGACTTCTAAGACACAAAGTCAATTCTTGTAAATATTTTCACACCTAAACATGGTTGTGCTAACATTTTCATTCTTGGAATTTATTCCAAATCTATACCTCAACCCCAATTTTAGAACCACCAAAAGATCTGATTGAGTGGCTAAAATTGCTTCCCAGAGCCATGTCCGTATGGACAAAACACATCTAGTAGAGAAAGGGAAAAATCAAAACAATGTTTTCAATTCTGTTTTCCTCCATCCAAAAGTGAACTATCCTTAATTCTTTTATTCTTTGTATGGTTTCATTTTTTTTTTTACGTTGTAGTTGTGTCACCTCAGGTTGTATATATTCAGAGAATTGTAAATGTGACTTGGCCTATCTTTCTACGTTTGGAAATAATTGCACTGAAATACTGACCTTCTGTAATAAAAAATTCTTTAGTAAGAATATTTGACATATTGTGAGGAGGAGATGTGTTTCATGTCCACAATGATAAAATTATGTTGGTACTATAGATTATTTTCTATTTCTATGGATTATTTTTAGAAAGGTCTTTCCACATGCTATGTCTCACTGAAGGAATCACAACCATCCTTTGAATGATGGCTCTGCCCTCACTGGTATGACTCTAAGTCATTTATACTCCCAACTTTATGTTTTTGTTTGCAAGATGGAGTCATCTAAAGTACAATTCACTTCTGTGAAACTGGAGCATTAAGCGAGATAATGCATGTGAAGCATTTAACATAGTGCCTGCCACAGCAATAATCACCCAATAGCAATTAGCTTTTATTCACATTGTTGCCATGTCCACAAATACCACAACTCCAGAAAATCATGTGCATGAGTTGAGCATATGGCGATATGCATACTTTGGAAAGGGCTGAGAGCTTGCTCCGCTTTGATGGGAAATCTTCCTAAACCAGATTCGTTCAAAAGTGAGATTCTGTTGTGGATTCTGAGAGTTGGTGACTTGATTTCGGTAGCAACTCTTCATGTCAGCAGCACCGTGTGCTGAAGTAGAGTAGCCACATTATCTGCTTATTTTTCCATTTGACAAGTGTTTCTCCAACACCTCCTTTGTGGCAGGCACTGTGGTAGGAGCTATGAATACAGAAGGAAAACAAGATAGGTTTGAATATCCCTGTCCAGTTCTGATAAAGAATAAAAAATTTCTTCATGCAAATCAACATCTGCATGTACGGAAACACAATCCATGAATAAGATCTACTGAATTACATAGAATCAGATGAACTAGTCCAGGAATCGTAGGGCTCACATTTTTAAGGATGGTCTCTCTGTCAGCAGATCACGTGTGTGTGTAGTTTTGTTCGCATACACACATAGTCATATTAACACATACTCACACTGTCAAGTAATTGGCATTGATAATTTGTTAATAGTTGCTCTCACTTCTTCTTGTTGTCACCTCAGTTGTCACCGATACTGATTGTACAAATGTTTCCCCAAAAGAGGAAAGTCATAGGTTTTTGTATATGTTTACCTTTATGTCATACTGTAGCAAATTTTTCTCTCCTGATCAATTATCTTTGGAACTTCCCTTGTTCATAGTGGAGGAGACCAATTATTCTTGGAATTGTGGAGCTCATGAGTATCTCCTCTGTCTCTCTGCTGGCATATTTTATGTATGTGTGTATATATATATATGTATATATACACCCACTCACAAACGTACAAATATATATCACTGTCAAATAAAAGGCATGAACAATTGACTAATACGGCATCTAATTTCTTCTAGGTGTCCCTGTTATTATTCCCAGAAAAGCTTGTCTGAAAGATGAAACATGTAAGTTTTTGCATATGTTTGCCATATTTTTCCCTCTGCTATGGCATTTTTTCCCTCTCTGGATAGATTTAACATTGGAACCTCCTTGTTTTAAGGTAGAAAAACTAGAATGGCTGGATGTTGCAGAATAGACTGAGTGATTCTTTCACTGATCATTTCCTGAGAGTTATCCTAACACAGTAAATGATGGTTTGGGGAGGAGATGAAAGTAAATTAGAGGGTGCAGTGATAGGCTCTGAATTACATCAACAACGTAATTTATTCATTTGTGTAGCTTTTATTTCTAATGACTGAGGAATACACAATATCTAAGTGCTTCTAGATTTCTTTTTAAGTCTTTGGTCCTTGCTAGTAGCTAATAACACGAACTTACATGTACTGAGCTTCTCACACTGAAGGTATTATATTGGGTTTTGATGCATTTTCTTGTCTAATTCTTATAATAATCCTATGAAGTGGTAGAATAATCTTTTCCCCATTTCACTGATGACAACAATCAGTTAAAATAATTAAGTTCCTTGCACCATGCCACACAGCTAGATCTAAGCTTTCAGCCCAAAACATCTGAATCAAGAGTTCATACACTACTCAGTTCTCCTTTATTCCTCTAAGATATAGTTCTAGTGCAAAAACCCAAACCACAGACCTGACACATGATGGACACATGGGATGAGTATGTGCATGGGCTTCACAGTACCACAGACTGGACGTGACTGCCAATTCTTTTAATGATGAATTGAATCAATATAGGAAAAGCACGCACATTTTCTTAGCAGCATTTTCCTCATCTGCCAACTGGGAATACATACACCTCATTCAGTTATCGAAGAGATAAGCTCACCAATGTGAAGTGTCTAGGGTAGGGTATCTCATTTAGCTGGCACAGAATCAGTACTAGTTTCTGGCCTTTTCTCCCAAAATATGTACAAACAAATTGACTAGAAGCGTTGGCTCTAGCCCTGCTGATCTTTCCTTGATTTCCAACATCAAGGAGGCTCTGGGCCTCAGCTAACACTCTGCCTGACCAAGGGCAAGAAGTTACGAGTGCATCACCTTTGAGATCTCTTTCCCCAGAAATTGCTGTTGATTCTGGAGCATATAAAAGGGAAAATTTCACAGGAAGAACAGCCTGTGTTTCATTGAATAGACAGTCTGGCTAACCGTCATTGTCATTAATTATTTCTTGACATCATATATTTCTTCCAAAACTTCAAAGGATATTAAGTGCAATCATCCTGTAACATCATAGCCACCATGAGAGACATTTAGGAAGGACAGGTGGGTGAGCCATGACCTCTTGAAGTTTTAGAGAATTTGGATTAACTGCTCTCTTCCAATTTATATAATGCCCTTTTACTAAAACCTCTCACCCACAACACGGGACACCACCAAATATGCATGGATTGTACCCTCAGTGGTAATCCCATTGTATACATAACATGTAATGGCTTAGATACTTCTAAATCAGGATTCAGCTTTATGCTTAACCTTTTGATGTCTGGGGTATTTATTGCACTTCGTGATGCAGAATTACAGAGTACCTAAGAGTGTGTTCTTTAAGGTCATGTTGCTGGGATTAAAATCTGGCTGCTGTTACTTCGTAAATGCGTGACATCAGGCAAATTACTTCTCCGTCCTTAGTTGATTTGTAAAATAGGAATGACAATAATAATCTCATAGTTTACTGTAAAAAAGAAATTAGATTAAAGTTTTGCATGCAAAGCTCTCAGAACAAGTCGGTGGCATTTGGTTAGTGGTTAATGAGTATTAGCTGTTATTACCTAGAGACATGGTGGGAGTGAAGAAATACTAAAAGTTATTTATAACAAATACATTTTTCCCATTGGACTTATTCATAAAATATGCAGCCTGACTTTTGTTATTTTGGAATGTTCTAAGTTGATTTAGCAGAGGTTGTTGATTGACGTTATCTATAAACTGGATTCTGACTTGTCTTGCTGTCTGTGGTGGTGGTGGTGGTAGATATTTTCCTCTTGGATTTTGGAGGTGTAGGGGTGTGACTGCAATGGAAGTCATCAGAAATAGATAGCTGTGACCACCCTCACATTAATATGTCCCATCCTTTCAAAAGAAGGGGTGAAACTAACTAAACGACTTCTCTTAGCCCCCCTGCAGCTGCAGCTCAGCAACGTCTCTGCCTATTACACCTACCTCCTCCTCCTCCTCAAGGGCGCCATCTACTTTGCCATCATTGCCTTCGGTCTGTTCAGGAGAACAGAAGACTGTGACATGGAAACAGTTTGTAACAGATGGTGGCAGAAGGAAGTCAACTGGTCTTCATTTATTTTCCCTAAAAGGGACCCCTGAGGATCTAGCGGGGCTTTCTTTCTGGGTTTGGGTTATTTCAGTTCACATGTGTACTTTTTGTTATGTCATTATTGTGTAATGGTTTTTCAAACCACCGGGCAAACAGAAAATGTTACTCTGTAACAACAATGAATTCTGCCATCACTCAGCGGCAGGGCCATGGGGTAGTCCTTTAGCACCACTGTCTCCATGATCTCCATCAGCTCCTCTGGCAACCCAAATAAGCATGCCTTCCGAGTACAGACAGCACGCGGCTTCTAGTCACATCCCTTAGGGCCATTTAACCAGAACCGCCTTGAAGCGTTGCATTTTACACATCCTGAACCTGACACTTTTGCTACTTGAATTCTGAGCTGTGTTTTTTGTAATAGGCACAATAAAAAAATTGAAAGTCTACTTTTGTCTCTAAGTACTTTAATTTGATGAAATCTAACTGGAAGTCCAAAGTAAGAAACGGCACAATAGCTGAGCCATCAAATCTATTATTGGCTGTGATGACGATCAATACACAGTTCTACTTCTTTCCCTGAGATAGTGGTCATGATTGCTTTCTTTGGGGCACTTCCTCCAAGAGGCGCCACAGACAAATGAAAACTCCCAGGTGACTTCTCTTTCAAAGGTCACCAGATTCACGCTCATTTGGTTTGGAACATTCTGATGGTGTCAGTATAACATCTAGCATAACCTGCACTGCATGTGCTCAGCTCCACAATAGTGTTTCACAAGCACTGTGTTTCCTCGTCCTCAGAATAACCACGTGAGACCGGCAGTCATACCAAGAGGCATCGCAGTGGAGGGGTTGAGCCTCTGGACTTTGAGCCCCAAGTGCCTGAGCTTGAATCCTGCATCCAGTATTAGCATCAGTGTGACCTCAGGCAAGCTATTTGAACTCTCTGTGCTATAACCTCCTCATCTGTAGAACGGAGTTACAGTGCCCTGTATCCTGGGGTTGTGTAGATTAGATGAGATAATAATGATGACACACACACACAAAAGCACTGACAGTCTTGACCAATCCTATTTCCTTGCTTGGAGGTTATATATGAACAGCACAGCGACTCAGCAAGTTTACTCTATGTACCACTTAACCCTGCTAATAAGCTAAGAGCCCTCTCAGGCAGGCTCATTTGTAGCCACAATGTGTTGATAGGAGAGGTTAATTTCGCAGCTCAAGGTCAATATTTTGTAAGTAATACTCACTTGAAGCCAGGTCTCTCTGAACTCAGAGCTAGTATACTCTTATCTACTATCAGGTAGGTATCCCTTCAACCACTGTCAGCTGGGGAAAACAAAATAAAACAAAACCTGCACTGCTTCTTTACTAAAGGTGTCCTGCAAGGAGTCAGTGAGAATTTCCTTAAGGTTTTGTGGGTGCATCTATGCTTTCTCCTCATGTATATACTGTTATTGCCACAATTATTCCCTTTGTTAACACAATGGAAATCCTAATTTATTTTGTGAGTGTATATTCCAGATTTATGTCAGCTTTTTGGGGGTCTGCTGGTGAAATGGCCTGAGATCCTTGGGCAGAGGAAACCCACTGATGGCACTCTCTGGGTGTACCTTTCTCACCCCACAGTGTCTCCCCTGCACTGAATGGGCCCGGAGGACCTCAGAATCAACTGTGGCATCCTCTGGTAGGTTCAGGTGAATTTCTGATTTAGGAAGTATTTTATGCATTCTTTTTGGCCCCGTAACTTTCCACCACAGCACGACTGCCACATGGAGTGGTCGGAGAAAAATCGGCCCAGCAGTCACACCTCAGACCCCACAGTTAGAGCCTCAGCTCCATAGGCTGGCTCTAACCAACTGAGTCGTTTGTTCTTGACTATGTCACATTGCCTAATTGTACCCAGCTTTAGAAGACAGTGTTCCAATTAAATAATTTCAGCTTTCTAGTGCAATTTACAAATTCAGTGGTTAACATTCTAAGGCAGTAATAATAGCAAATGCTGGGACAGTGCTTCCTGGTACTGGTCTATGTACACGTTGGCTTAATTTATTCTCAGGAGACCCCTGTGAGATATGTACAATTATCTTTGTTTTTATACATGGGGAAACAAGCAGAGAGGCGTAAATATGTCCCCTTAGTTAGGTAGCTAATAAGAAAGAGAGCTGAGATTTGAACCCAGCAGCCTGGCTGCAGGAGCTCTGCTCTTAACTTCTACATTATTTGCTACTAGAGTAGAAACAGGTTACTTTAGTTTCAACTAAAACAGGAAAATTTCTCTCCTTATTGGGCTAAGAGCTGATGAAGACAACTGCCTCTTCAGCTGTCCACACCTCCTCTCCTTGCTCCCATGCTTTTCGGATGATTCGAGGGTCTTAGGCCATCTTGCCACAGAGTTTTTCATGCTGGGAAGACTTTTATACACTGACCTCCAGCCACTAATAGTGCTTCTGTGACTAAAGTCCATGACCTCTGGTTGGACAAAATGAACACCAGAACAACAGGCTGCATCCACAGGTGTGCAATGGAAAAAGTAGGCAAAGATTTACACAGTTCCACATAAAAACACCTGCGTCTCAACAGTCTTTATAGAGCTAGAGTCTCAGCACACTTCTCAACTGTAACAGAGGGAAACCTCAACGCAACAATCTCAAAATTCCCCAACTATGATTCTTCCCTACTGTTTGGAATTCTTTCCCTCAGCAACTTCATTTTTTACGGCTTTCTGTCAGTGAAACAGGCCATAAATAATGAACATTTGATCTTTCCCTTTGTCTTACAAAAAGGCCTATATAACTGCCATTTAGAAATTCTAACTAATAGGAGATAACCAGAGATAGTAGACCAATATGATACAATTCACCCAATTCTAACTAATAGGAGATAACCAGAGATAGTAGACCAATATGATACAATTCACCCAACAGACGAGAAACTCAACATTTTGTTAGTCACGCAATCTTCTCTCAGTAAATACATGGTCTCCATCATGTACTGTTATTCTACTTTTTGCTTGTTTGCTCTCTTTTCATTAGTTTGAATGATGGTTAGTCCCTACCACTTAGTGAGCATCAGGAATTCTGCTGGGCAGTTTGCGTGCTTTATATCTAATGCTCTCAATGCACCACACACAGGTATCATGCTCATCTCACTGATGAGAAGACTAGGTCCCAGAAACGCTAAGAAATATGCACAAGGTTAAGCATAGAGTAGTGCCTGAATCCACATGACTTCAGGTCTGCCTGACTTAAGACCTGCTTTTTATCCATTATACCATTGGCTTTCCTCTTGGGAGCCTTTAAAAACCACTGAAGCCCAGACTTCATCACAGGGCAGGCATTAGACTTTAAAAAACCTCCTCCATTAATTCTAACCTTCATTCAGTGGAGGCCAGCAAGTCATTGAAATACCTCCTGAGCTCCCGCAATGCTGTCCCAGATCACACACAGTGAGCTGCCGTCACAGAGCACATCACATAAGTGAGAATGTGCTGCAGCCAGGAAAGCGTTATTACAATTCAACCCATCAATATTCCAAGGAAATGAAAGGTATGTAATAAGGTTTATGTGCAAGGATGTTCAGTTACTATAGCATCATTTATAGCAGCCACAAGTTACCCAAATGCCCAGTAAGAAACTACAAAATCAACTAAAAGATGTCATATGACTATATAATATCCAACCTCAAAGTGTGTAGATAGTTTAAAGCAGTATAAAATTAATCAGAAAGTGTTGTTGAAAAAATAATATACATAATACGACCCTATAAAAATTGTTAGATAATACCTTCACCTGGTTCAAAAATCGAAACTCTCTAAAATGCATTAAGAGATTTTGCTTCAACCAATGTCTCTATCTCCCCACTCCTTACAGGTCACACTTTTGTGTCTTGTGCATCCTTCCAGTTTTTATTTGTGCAAATATGAATGTACACATGTAAATATATATGCCTGTATATATATTCTCATTTCCTCCCTTCTTACACAGAGGTAGTAAATGTTATACATTATTCTGCACCTCTCTTTTCCCTTAGACATCCTAGAGCTCTTATGTCTGTGTAGAGGGACACATAGACAGCTGCATGATATTTCCCTGGTGAATGTGCAACACTTTATACAATCAGTTCCCTGTGATACACCATTGGCTCACTTCCGATCTTTGGTCTTACAAGAAATGCTGAAATTGTGATAGCATTTTCTGTCAGTTTGAATGTGTGTGATGATTATTTTGATAGGTATTGCCAACAAATCCACGATAGAGAGAGCACAATGTGGTACTTCTACCACAGGGTCAGTGAATGCCAAGAGTGTGCCTCAGGAATTTCTAATCTTACAGGTGAAAAATAGTTTCTCATTGTAGTCGCAGTTTGCTTTTCTCTTACTATGAGTGAGAAGAAGCATCTTTTCATACATTGAAAGTCTATATTGATTTTTCTGTGAACTTAGTTCATGTCTTGATCATTTTTTCTATTGAGTAATAACACTCAATAGGTATGACGCTCATTTTTATTTGTCTGTATTTCTACAACCATACGCATAAAACATTTTCAATGTATGTTAAGAGGATGAAAAAGTGAGAAGAGATTTTGTATTTCTCTATTTTATTTAACTAATCTTTTTAAAGTTAATATTATTCTATATAAAAATTAAAACAGTGTCTTGTTCAAAATTGGGAATTTTTTTTTGTTTCTTCCTAACAATGAGCTTCAGTTTCTGTGAAATGCATTCTTTTGGAAACCAAGTCAAGGTTCTCCTTTGGAAACAAAATAAGACCCACCAGATCCAAGAAAGATTAAATTTAATTGGGTCTACTCCTTGATTCTCATGAATTCTGTCATAATACTCTAGGCCCAATCCCTGGCCCTCTCCTTAGAGGCCTGGAGCTATATCTACGTTGGGAAAGAGTAGAAGCAAAGAGGGGAAACTTTCAAGTCACTGAAAGTTTTGTGTGTATGACTTCACTACCAGGCACTACTAGGCAGCGTCTCCTGTGGTTTCCAACTTCTGAGCAGCTTCCTTCCGCACTGGGCCTGGGCTGCCCTGAACTAGGCGGTACAGAGAGGGAGAGCACAGGTGGTGGAGGGGACAGCCTGGGTAGCAGGAAGGTGCAGCTGTGGCTGCTGGTGTGTTATTTTCTCAGTTTTCTTTTGTTTCCATGCTCTGTCCGATGTGGTTGATTCTTGTAAAATGCTCAAACTCAATGGACCTCTACTGTGTGGGGCTGTGCAAGCAGTGGCTAGGGTGTCATAAGATAAATTAAGACCAGTTAAACCACAACCAACCTTGTTCATTTTCAAAAGACCACAGCTAATGGGAGGAAAATATCCATCTACACACATACATGCTTGCTGTCAAACACACTCTTAGGCTCCGGGTAGAGGTTTCCTTGCTTTTTACATACAAAGTTTGCTCCAATAAGCTGCAATGTGAGTTGGGAGTTTTAGGCCC